TATATACTATATTGTTGTTGTTGATCTCTTTCTCCAACTCCTTTTCCCCAATTAAATATGCACCTTTTGAACTAGGGTTAATTCTATGATCAACAAGTGGTTTTAATGCATATGATTTTTCCCCCTTTCCTTTTCGAATTATATACACATTTGTCCTACCATTAAACTTGACAAATCTATCATATTGCCATGGTCTACCCAATAAGATATGACAAGCATCCATAGGGCATACATCACATAAAACTTTATCATGATATTTGCCAATTGAAAAGGTGATTAGGGCTCGTTTCGTTACCTTCACGTCACTAGCATCATTGAGCCAATGTAGCTTGTAAGGTTTTGGGTGATCGGTTGTAGGCCACTCTAATTTGTTGATCAAAGTTGTAGACACCACATTTGTGCAACTTCCCGAGTCTATTATTACGTCACACAATCGATCTTCCACCTTGCACCTTGTTAAAAAGATTTTCTCTCTTTGATTCTCTTCAACGGGCATAGGTTTAGAGTGAAGAGCTCTCCTTAGAACCAAGCTCTTTCCTTGCGTTTCACCATCAACCTCTTCGGCACTACCCTCCTCTTCTTCAAAATCACGTTCTTTCTCGACCACAACCTCCATGTCACTATTTCCCTCGCACCTAGCTTTCTCTTCTTCCCATTCTTGAGCCGTCATAGTGCGTTTTGAGTAGCAATTGCTTGCTATGTGGCCAACACTCCCACATTTGAAACATTTTCTATCTTCGGTCACCTTCTTGCTAGCTTCGTTTCTGGGTTTATTATCTTTAGCATACGGATTAGGAAAAGTCCTATCAAAGGTAGGCTTGTCACTAGCCTTTGTGAACGGTTTCACACTTGAGGTCTTCTTGGCCTTGAATTGCCTTTCAACCTTAATGGCCGCCTTGCATACTTCTTCAAACGAATAGTATTCGTGCAATTCAATCTTCTCTTGAACATTTTCGTTCAAACCTGCAATAAAACGTGCTATTTTGTGCTCTAGAATTTCTTCTAAATCACACAATAAACATAGTTTCTCAAACTCACACAAATAAGCCTCCACGGATTGATTTCCTTGCTTAAAAGTCTGCATCTTGAGATACACTTCTTGCACGTACTCATGGGGCACAAATTGACGCTTCATATATTTCTGCAATTGTGTCCAAGTAGTGATCTTGGATCGTCCCTCCTTGCGTCTCTTTTTCTTGAGATTATCATACCATAAACTCGCATAACCTGTGAGTTTTAATTCAGCAAGTTTGCACCTCTTTCGTTCATCATACTCCTTGTAATCAAAGAGTGTTTCGGCTCTCCTAACCCACTCAAAATATTTTTCGGGGTCTAGCATACTACCATTGAATTCCGGAAAATCTAACCTTATATTTCGGTCATCATCTTTGGCCTTGTTCTTCCGTCTATGCCTTCTAGGTTCATCACTCGAAGATGAATCTTTATGTCGTGATCTACTTGCTTTTCTCCTGTCATATTCGTCTTCACTTGAACTAGAAATTGCAACTGATTTGTTCTTTCTTGAAGATGAAGTTTTGTCACGTTCGTCAAGCCTAGCCAATACTTCTTGCAATTGTTGTGACAATCGCTCTATTTGACGATCCCTCCGCAAGTTATGCGCTTGATCAAGGTTCAAACCCCTTGGAATCCCTGGGATTTCTTCGTCACTCATTGCTCCTACACAAACCAGGTTTGTTTATGCAAAAATCTTGATTAAAAGATCAAATCTTGAAGGAATCTTGAAGCAAACAAAAACCGGACTCCCAACCACAACCCAGTGCAACAACACCAAAAGTTTAAGGCTGTACAGAGTTCGTTACTCAACCAAAAGCTACGAAATTTTATATGGTGATAGCTAGACGTTTTTAGAGACTAATGCAAAAAGAATCACTCAAAAATTCCCAGCCAAACGTTACCAGTTTATTTTCTACCGTAACCTAGCTCTGATACCAAGATGATGTGATTTTTAGTCCGAAAACTAAGCCTCACAAGGATATGAATCTAACCTAATTCTATACAGAAAATTCACCAAGAATTAAGCAAGAAACTTAGATTAATTAATCAAGAATCCACCTAATTAATCAACCTAGGTGATTGTTTTAACTAAAACAAACAAAACAGCAAATTGGAATCCACCAATCAAGAATTTAAGTAATCCAACTTAAACAAAAGCAATAAGAAATATTATTATGAATGTATGATTAAACTTCTATATTATTCGAAGATTACAACCCTATATTTATAAACTCAATCAATTATCCTAATCCCACTTGAATTAGAATTCTAATCCCCTAACAAAAACCCACGGATTGCATAACTTAATCAAGTTTAGATAACTTTGATTTAGTTATTTAATCCTACTTAAACTCTAACTACTCTTAAGATAAAACTTGCCTATTTTATCCTAACTCAAGCTTGCACTCCAAGCTATTATTGACGCCTACTAGACTAAAACAATTCCTAATGCAATTAGAAATCCTAAGTGCTTAAAACAAGAAAAACCCTTTCAAGTGAAAGGTAAAAACTTGTAAGCAAAAACCTAAGAAAGCTTTTAAAGAAACCTTAAAGAACTATCAAGAAGCTTCAAGAACTCCCAAGAACGCCACCATACAAAGCGTGGCTTTGTCTTGATGCCCCCGATAGTAAGTTTGACCTATTGAAGAAGCTTCCAAGTATAGATTCATGCTTTCTTGACTTTCTTGGAATAATTCTTCAACATGCTCATCGTTCACATTGATGCACGCATCAAAGGGTGATTAGTGTTGAAGATGTGAAAGCAAGTTACAAAAATGATCATGATTTTGGTGATTTGTTTTTAAAATGTTATAATCATGCTTACAAAGATTATTACATCTTAGATGGTTACTTGTTTAAAGGAAACAGGTTGTGCATTCCAAGATCAAGCCTAAGAGAATCTCTTATCAAAGAGTTTCATGAAGAAGGAATGGTGGGACACTTTAGCATAGAGAAGACTACTCTTCTTGTACAATAATACTTTCATTGGCCTAGATTGGTCCTTGATGTGGAGTTCATTGTGAAGAGATGTGTGATATGTCAAAAGGCCAAGAGTCATAGTCTTCCTTAAGGCTATCTTTTGCCCTTACATATTCCACAAGCACCATGGGAGGATGTTAGTCTTGATTTCGTTGTGGGACTTCCTGTTACCCGACGAAAGAAAGATTCTATAATGGTTGTTGTGGATCGATTTTCTAAAATGGCTCATTTCATTGCTTGTCATTCAACTTATGATGCTACTCATGTTGCTAACTTGTTTTTCAATGAGATTGTGCGTTTACATGGTGTACCTAAATCCATGGTGAGTGATCGTGATCCAAAATTTCTAAGTCATTTTTGGCTTACATTATGGAGGAATATGGGCACGAAATTGAACTTTAGCAATTCAAGCCATCCTCAAACAGATGGTCAAACCGAAGTGACTAATAAAACTTTGGTATCCTTGTTGCGGTCTTTGGTTACCAAACATCCCAAGTAATGGGAAGAGATGCTTCCTCATGTGGAGTTTGCTTACAACCGTGTGCCTAGCAAGACAACATGTTTGATGCTTGAGAACTCTAATCGCACAATAAATTCACTTTCTCCAAATTCTGAGAACCATGTGCATTCCTCTACTTTTCATTCTCCTCCTGCTCGATTGAATTGGATGGATTCTTTGTTTGAGGGGACTAGGGATAAGAGGTTAGACCTTTCTAGAGGGGAGAAATCTGGTGTTGGGGGTCAGAGTGTGAATGATAGGATACATCTTACTCTTGATGATGTTCAACCATAAATTAATTTCTAGAAATCTGCAATTGTTTGTTACATTGTTTGTGCTAAACCTCCATTGAATATGATTAATGGGTTTATCAGACGTATTTGGGGTAAGTATGGGGTAGAAAAGATTTCAATGATGGATAATGGGGTGTTTTTGGTTCGTTTCAGAACTGTTGATAGTAGGGATAAGGTGTTGAATGCAGGGCATGTTCTCTTTGATAAGAAACACATGGTCATGAAAGCCTGGGAGCCTAGTTTGGATCTAAATAAGAAGAAAGTAAATAAGGTTCCGGTTTGGATTAGGCTAGCAGGGGTTGAGCTTACGTTTTGGGGATGGCCTGCTTTGTTGAAAATTGCTTCATTCATGGGCAAACCAATCAAAACTGATAGAGCTACAGCTACTAAAGAGAGGTTGAACTATGCTCGGGTGATGGTGGAGGTTGAGTTGAATGCTGCTCTTCCAGATATTGTTGGGTTCTTAGATGAGAAGGGTACCTGTGTTATTCAGAAAGTGGAATATGAGTGGAAGCCTATAATATGCAATGTTTGTGGTGGTATGGGGCATGAGGGAATTCATTGTCCCAATCATAAAGTGCAGGCTAGGAAACACTAGAAGAAGCAACCCAAGAGGGTTTGGCATCAAGTTCAAAACCCTAATTCTACTCAGCAGCATTCCGGGGCTATTAAGGGGAGTAGGAGAGTTAATCTGAATGACATTCCTAGGCAAGAGTAGGAGCCTGAGGTTCCGTTATTGTTGAAGCCAGGTGTTGTTTTGGTTGGAGGCAATGGGAATAGGTGTAGTGTGTTTGAGGAAGGGGAATGCTCTCACCCTTTCAATGGATAAAATTGGGTTTTGGAATGTAAGGGGTCTAAACTTGCCTAGTAAGCTATGTGATGTCTTATGGTTCTTGAGACAACATAGTATGGGTTTGTTTGGACTCTTAGAAACTAAGGTGAAGGACACGTTATTTGGTGAGGTGTTTTCTAGGATGGGCGGTGATTGGTCTAATTGTTCCAACTATAGTAAGCATAAGGGAAGGAGAATTTGGGTGGTTTGGCTGCCTCAAATTTGTGATGAAACTGTGATTAGAGTGGAGGTTCAGTTGGTGCATTATAAGGTTCTGCATAAGGTTTCTAGTGTTTCTTTTGTAGTCTCCATGGTGTATGGAATAAATGAGGCAGCTAATAGTGTTTGGCTTTGGGATTAGTTGAAGCAAATTGCTTGGTCCATGACTAGTCCTTGGGTAGTTAGGGGTGATTTTAATAATGTGTTCAACTTGACTGATAGATTTGGTTCACCTGTATCTCTTACTGAGGTTGAACCTTTTAGGCAATGCCTAAGAGATACTAGAATGTTTGACTGGCAAACTGGGGGAATGTTCTATACCTGGAATAATAAGCAAGATGGTTTGAATAGGGTGAGTACTAAGATTGATAGGGTGTTGGTCAATAATGACTTGTTAAATTGCTTCCCTGATATGCAAGCTATGTTTCACCCTAAGGGTCATATGGATCAATGTCCTTGTGTTATCACATTGAGTGAGGGGGGTATGCAGTTGAGAAAACCTTTTAGGTTTTTCAATAAGTGGGTTGAGGCTCCTGGGTTCTTAGAAGTTGTGAGAGATGCTTGGAATATTAATGTGGCTGGGACTGTTATGTTCCAGGTGATTAAAAAGCTTGCTGAAACAAAGAAAGTGCTGAAAAGTTTAAAGCTCACTAAGTTTACTTGTGTGGAAACGGCTTATGCAATTGCAGAAAGGAAGTTGCTAGAGATTCAGACTACTCTCCAAGGTGACCCTAGTAATAATGATCTTATTACTCAGGAAAAAGTTGTCAGGGATAATTTTGGTCTCACTCACAGGGCTAGGTATAAGTTCCTTTAGCAGAAAGCTAAGGCTCACTGGCTTAAGGATGGAGATATGAATTCTGCTTATTTTCATGCCATTTCGAGGAAAAAGGATAGTTCAAAATAGTATCTACTCTGTGATTGGTGATGATGGAGAGATTATTTCTGAGCCTTGAGATGTGTGTAATGCTATTCCGAGGTATTATAAGTCTTTGCTGGGTACTACTGCCGCTACTAGTGGTCAGGTGCATCCTGCTGTTATAGAGGAGGGTAAATTTATGCCTGCAGTTCAAAGGGATAGGATGTGTAGGGGTTTCACTGATAAAGATGTGAAAACTACCCTTTGGAGTATTGAGGATGATAAATCCCCTGGTCCTGATGGGTTTTCAAGCAAATTCTTTAAGGCAACTTAGTCTGTTACTGATTCTGGTGTAACCAAGGATGTGCTTGATTTCTTTGCTAATGGTCAATTGTTAAAGCAAGTGAATGCAACTTTTATCACCTTGGTTCCTAAGGTTGAGAATGCTAATATGGTGACTCAATATAGGCCTATTGCTTGCTGCAATGTCATCTATAAAATCATTTCTAAAATGATTTGTGAGAGACTAAAGGAGGTGTTGCCTGAGCTTATTGATCCTAGTCAAGGGGCTTTTGTTGCTGTTAGGTCTATTTTGGATAATATTTTGGTGTGTTAAGATATGCTGAACAATTATTGCAATAAACGGACCCCCCCAAGATGCACTGAGAAAGTTAACCTTAGGAAAGCTTATGATTCTATAAGTTGGGTGTTTATCAAGGAAATGCTGGTTGCCTTGGGTTTCCCTGGCTAGTTTATTGCCTGGATTATGCAGTGTGTGTGCACCCCTGCTTTCTCTCTTTTGATAAATGGGGGGGTTACATGAATTCTTTGCAGGAAAGAAAGGCATTAGACAGGGTGATCCTATGCCACCTTTATTGTTTGTGATTGTTATGGAGTACTTAACTAGGTTGCTTAGGAAAATTGGTAAGAAAAGAAGATTTAATTTCACCGGAGATGTGAGAGTTTAGGGTTAAACCATCTCATTTTTAGGAATGTTCAAGATCTAGTGAGAGATGAAATATATTTTAGGAATGTTCAAGATCTAGTGAGAGATGAAATTTTGAGGTGTTCTGGGTTTGTCTTGGGAAAAATGCCTTTTAAGTATTGGGGTATCCCTTTAAATGATAAATACTTGAAAGTTGCTGATTATGATGCTCTTGTGGATAAAATGCTAGCTAAAATTCATTGCTGGAGCAGCAGAAATCTTTCTTATATGGCTAGAGTGACCTTGGTTAATACAGTTCTGATGAGCTTTCACATTTATTGGGCTTAATGCTTACTGATACCTAAAATTGTTATGATGAAAATTACTTAACTTTGCAGGGCTTTTCTTTGGGATGGGAATGGTGTTCTAAGTAGAGCTCCTTCCATTTCCTAGGATTGGATTTGTAGACCTAAGTTGGCTGGGGGTTTAGGGATCATAAACTATATTGCTTGGAATAAAGCTGCTTTGGGAAGTTATGTTTGGAAAATAGCAAGGAAGACTGAGTCTCTTTGGGTTAAATGGGTTCATTCAGTTTACATCAAGAGCAAGGATTGGTGGACTTATATCCCTAAGTGAAGTGTTGGTTGGGGCTGGAAGCTTATGTGCAAGGTCAAGGATGAGCTTAAAAATGGTTTTGTTAGTAATAACTGGATAAGTAAGGGGTTTAAGATCTCTGACTTTTACAAATGGTTGCAGTGTATTATGGATACGGTTCCTTGGAGTAAATGGGTGTGGAGCAAATTCAATGTCCCAAAGAATTCTTTTGTTATTTAGTTGGCTATGCTGGGAAGGCTAAAAACCAGGGATAAGCTTAAAATATATAATGCTTGTGATGATGACCTGTGTCTGCTGTGTGGTTTACATGCTGAAACTTGTTCTCATCTATTTTTCAATTATAGTTATAGTACTAGATGTTTGAGTAGCATCACTGGTTAGCTCGGGCTTGATAAGTGGCATTTATGCCACTATTTAGATCCACTAATCGCGGTATTTTTCTACGTTTGTCCCTTGTTTGTACCCCTTTTGTTCCGTTTATCTCTTTATTATGTTTTTGTGCTTTTCCTCGCGTTTTGTAGGCTTTTGGAGTTGATTTTAATAGAATGAAGAGCTTGGAGAATTGGAGTTCATTTGAAGAGCTACAAAGGAAGTTAAGGAGCAAGCAAACAAGGCCATGCGGACAGCGCGGGTCGCGCTTTCAGAATGGCGCGGGCGCGCCAATTCCAGCGCGGGCGTGCCTAACATTGGGGTCGAAAATATTGAAGGAGGCAGAATGTAGGCGCGATTTGGGCGCGGCTTAGCGCGGGCGCGCCTAAGATAGGCGCGGGAGAGCCTAAGATAGGCGCGGGAGCGCAAGGGCCTGAACTCCAAAACCGACCTTTGTTCACTCTTTTAGCCTTAACTTTTGATCTACACATTGGATTGAGGTGATTTAAATTGCGTTAGAAATTCAACTTGAAGAGCTTTCCAACAATAGGTCGCACGCCACAAGAAGCCTCCTAGAACAGAAGTTATGGATATTTTAATTTGAATGTCGCTGCCAGGCCGAAACCCAGATTGGCGCGGGCGCGCCATTCTACTGTGGTTCTATTTTTAGCCCGATTCTCTCCTATTTTTGGGGAAGTTTTGATGGTGGATTTCTTTAGGGGGTTTTCTCTCTCCTCTTTGAGGGATTAAACCCTAACATCTTTCCTTCAATCTTCACATAAATTAGGCTTAGATTTAGATTTAATCTTTGTTTTTATACTTTGTAATGTGGATTAAGAGTAATTTAGGGTATTTTAGAGAGAGAAAGTGAAGAGTTTCAATGGTGGATTAAAGAAGATGAAGATGCAAAGTGACATTGTTTTGGATTCCTTTTCAATACTTCAATGAGCATTCTAAACTCTATCTCATTTATTGTTCTTTCTTAATTTCTTGCTTGATTAGAGTAGTTGTTTAGTTTAATTGCTTCTCTTTGTTCTTCTTACTGGGTTTTGTGTTAGTTGTTCATGATTAGTGAGTAATTCCCTTTACTAAGGGATTGGTGATAACATGTGGTGGAATGTATTAGGCTAGAAAAATGTTGGTTATATGTGATTAAATATACCTTGTAACCATGTTTTACTAATTACTCCATGTGAATGGCCAATCATGTGTTGTAATTGGGTGGATTGAACTAAGTTATGACGATAGTGTAACTTAGGGATATCCATTAGGTGATCGATTCTATGCAAAAACCTTAACTTTCACAGCTTATGACGATAGTATGAGCATGTGTTAAGTTGGGAAAGCCTTTGACCCCGATAGGTGGTTAGATAGTATTGTTGGTATTGCCTTATATGAGATATTTGGTTTGCATGTAAACTCATTTCCATTTCCTAACTTTATTGAAGATCATCGTCATGTTTGACCCTCTCCCTTGGTGTTAGTTTAACTTAATATTAATCTCATTTTGTTTATTGTTCTATCCATCCTATCTCTTTGACCTAGCTTAATTGGTGTGGTGTTGATAGTGTTTATGTCGTCTCCGGTGGTTCGACCCGCTACTTACCACTAAACTTGTTAAGTGTAGGTCTAGGTTTATAAATATTGTTTGGTTGAGGGTAGTTAGTCCAATGACCTAATTATCCTTCACTAAAATGGCGCCGTTGCCGGGGACGGCTTCCATTATTGTTGTATTACCTTATTGAGTCTAGGTCTTTGCGAATATTTTCTTTTCTTTTTGTTTATTTTTTGTTTAAAAAAAAAGAAAAAAAAAGGGGAAATTCCAAAAATATTTGAGCTTTCTTATTTGGTTGCTATTTGTTTTGCCTCATTGAGTCATGGATCAATTTGTCCAAAATGAAATGTCATGTCCTTCTTTGCCTCAATTTTAATATGAGCCCTTTTGGGTATACTTTAATAGGTTTGAAGACTTCTCTAATTACCTTGGCTGTACTTTATGGGAGTCTTGTGAGATAATTTATTGGGGTTTGAATGAGTACACTAGGGGGGTGGTTGAAAACATATTTAATGGTGAATTTCGAGCCACATCTTCGGATGAGGCTTGGGATTTCTATTTGTGGTTTGCTCGGGATAGCAATGAGCAAGATAATTATGATAATTGTCGTGATTTTTCTAACTCTTGCATAAACTCTAATGATGATTCTTATGTTCCCCATGATGATCCCTTGATGCATGATGGCAACCCTTCCCTTTTGTATGCTAATTGTAATGAGATGCATCCCAATGTTGATAATGTTCATGATATTTTTCAATGTTCATCAATTATGTGCATGAATTCCAATGATGCTTCACACACCCCAAATTCTCAAATGCATAATTCTTCATCTTCCTTTCCTTTTTCATACACGATTCCTAATGAGTTCCCCTATGTGTCTAATGAGCCTTTTTGTGAGGGTAATTCAGTGGGGAGATCGAAGGAAGAAGAGTGTATGGAGATGCTTAAGGAGTTTATGAGAAAACAAGATGAAGAGAGGAATAAAAGGGAAGCTTGGATTAAAATGATGGAAAGTAAAATTTCCCAACTAGCCTCATCCCAAGAGGATGCCTTTCCTTCTTCTCCCTCCTCCCATTTGAGTGAGCCTAAGGGTAATCAAGAGAGTGAGACAACTCATTTGGAATTTGAGAATGTGATTGACGATGATGATTTTGAAAGTGATGGAGGGAGTATGGATGGTGAGATTTTTCATGACTTCGTGAATACCAACCCCTCCACCCAATTTGAGCCTCAAAACTCTTCGCAACCCATTGACGATACAAAATTGATGCAATTAAACATTGATTTGAGGTTTCTTAGAGAAAAGTTTGGTTTAGGTGATGATGAGATACCGATGTTCATTCATGGTGACTTGGGGAATGTAAACAATGATGATCATGCTCTTGTTGAGAGTGAAATATCCCAATTGGTGATTGAGAATACATCGAAAATCTTTGAGGGTATTGCAGATGAGTTGGAAGATAAAGCTTGTGATTCAATGCTAGGTGGTATAATTGAGGTGGTGAGTGCGATCCCAATTCAAACCCCTTCAACTTACATCCCTTTTTCAAGGAAGTTTAGCAATACTCCTTCTTTTCCCATCTCACTACCATATTTTCTCAAAAATAAACCAATTGAGGAGCCCCTTGCCTCTCTATACCACTATGGCCTTACTTTTGATTTCAATGATGAGCTTTCACCTTCCAAAATGCAACTAAATGAGTTTGTTTCCTCTTTTTCTTTTTCTTATTTTAATTTTTCTTTTGATTTTTCTTTTGATCCTTTTTATTTTTCTTTTCCCCCTCCCCTCAAGCATAGAGTTTCTTTCAACTTTGTGCTTGCTTGTCATATGAGCATCACTTATGCTCTTTTTCATGAAATATTTTCCGAGGCATATGACAAGCTTTTGCGTTCTTTGTCCGGTTATTTACTAATAAGGTCAATCTTGGACCTTAAACAAGACTTTCTCGGGAAGTAACCCGTGTTTTTATTGATTTTACTTTTCCTTATTTCTTTCAATTTTGTTTTCCTCTTGTTTCTCTTTGTATATAGTTACTTGATGTCTATACTTTTGCGCATGACCTTGGATCGGGAACCATAAGAAGAAACAAACCAAGGAATGCTTGTGATTGGAAGTTGAAGCATCAAAGAAGAGTAATTAGAT